CAGGGGCAGTAGCAAACCTCGCACACTTCCCTCGCTCCCACCATGCAGGAAAGAAGGATGAAGAAAGACAATCTGGGATGAACAGCAAAAAACCTAATTACACTTTTCACACTCACTCTTTAATTCTCCAAATCTTGGGGAGGGCCTGCTTTTCTCTTCTGGGTTTCAAGAAATGCTTCTTTTTGACAGTTTTATTTAAATAAAAATACATTCCTATGGGGAAAAAAAGTTGGTTTTGACAAATCAGCATTTTCTACAAAAACCATTTCATTGAAGGATCCCGTTGTCAACATTTGGTATTCAGTGAATGGAGAGAGGCTCAGCACCTACAACAGCCACACAGGAGCTGTCTGGTGCATGGATGCGGACTGGGACACACGACGTGCTCACCGGCTCTGCGGATAACAGCTGTCGGCTCTGGGACCATGAAATGGGAAAGCAGCTCGCTCTGGTGAAGGCCAGCACAGTGGTGAGGACGCATGGCTTTGACTTTGGAGGAAACATCATCATGTTTTCCACATACAAAGCAGACGGGATATCAGTGTTTTGTGAGCTGCTTTGACCTCCAGGACCCTGGCCAGATTGAGAACAACGAGCCTTACATGAAAATCCCCTGCAGTGATTCTAAAATCACTAGTGCTGTATGGGGCCCTCTGGGAGAGTTCATCATCCCAGGACGTGAGAGCGGAGAGCTGAACCAGTTCAGTGCCAAGTCAGGGGAGCAGCTTTCAAACGTCAAGGAGCACACCAAGCAAATCAACGATATTCAGACCTCCAGGGACATGACCATGTTCATCACTGCCTCCAAGGACAACACAGCCAAGCTATTTGATTGCATAACACTCAAGCATTTGAAGACGTCACTCTATTCAGAAAGTATCCTCATCCAGTACCCAGTCAGTTTGGCTTAGTATAAACTCAAAAATGTAAACCATATTATGAAGTCAAAGGGGACCAAGCCAAGGAGAAAGCCAAAGCCTGAAGGAAAGCGAGCTCTGGGCAGACAGAAGATGACAGCTGTTAAAGAGAGACATGCTGGGGCCATCCTGGGAGCTGTGAGCAAACGCTGTTGCTGGCAGGAGGGACAACAGGCACTTTGATTTACCCTGGCACTGAACTGCCAATTATTTGTTATAGTCACTAACAGCTTTGCACCCAGATTCAGCCCAGCTTTTCACTTGCACAGCCATCAGAGAGAAATCCTTGTTTTGTGGGGACACTGGTGTGCTGCAGCCAGCCTAGGGATTGGAAAGAGGCAATGGTGTTGATGCTGGAGCATCTGGACGCCTGCTTGCCCGCCAAGCTGGACTCCCCGGGACCTCCTGCCACAGGAGGAGACACCGCACTTGCAAATGGCCAACGCTGTGCGGAGGTATCGCCCTCTGTCCAGGAAAGGTGCTCACGGCCAGCAGGCTGCCTGTCTCCTCTGCTGGCCTTGCCCTCTCCAGCTACCCATCCATTTCTCAGCTGCAGCTTCTGAGTAGACAGAGCCCGTTCACAGTCACTGGGGTACCAAACCTCTGAGTTTAGTGACATTAGGAATCAACTTCCAAACTACAACAAAACCCACAAAAACCATATGTGCCCAAGACACCACCTGAGGCAAGAGTCTCATGAGCACAACAGTGCCAACGTGATCCTGCTCCCCCGGGGGCCCCAACTCTCTGCCTTCATCCTCTCCACCTTCTTCTTGCAGCTGGACCCGCTAGTACGGTGCAGTAAGCAGAGGCTTTGGTTTCAACATTACCACTCATTTCAACAGAGTCAGGGCACACATATTGCTGTCATTCCTTCCAGCAGCTACCCTCCAATGGACAGACGGTCAGTCCCTCTGCAGCACAGTCCACAGCACCCTGCCACCACCCAGCTGGGCTCCCAGCAGTCCTGACCTCTAAGAAAGACACTGCAAGTGGCACTACGTTGCAGAGCAGGAGGGCAGAAGGACTCAGTGTGTGTGCATCTTTGGTCCTGCGAGGCACTGCCAGGCTGCCCCGCTGCCATTCGGGGCTCCCACGACGGTGGAGTTTCAGCCTTTTCGACTTCCAGCAGTTTGGATGCCTCCTGTGTTTGAAGCTGCTGGAACCACATCAAACGGCCATGAGCAAAGAATGCCGTTGAAGGATTTATTCAGCCTGGATATGAGTGTTGCTGATGGGAGAGAAGGGAACAACAAAGATTGCTCAGCCACTATTGTGATCTACCCATTTAAAAATATATATAAAAAAAAGAAAGGTTCCTTTTACTATCAAAACCATTTGGCTGAGCATTTTACTGTAGACCCTGAGCAAGTTCCAAATTGCCTGGCTTACATAAATACCTCTACCACCAGTGAGCCTTTGCAGAAGGAAAATGTTTATAACTGAGTAGTAAACCTTACTAAGCGACAATCATGAGATACAATACATTTTTTAAAAGCCAAGTGTCAGACTTTTGAATTGAAAACCTACAACTGGAAATATAAATTCCAAAACAATAAGTATATTAAACTGTAATCAAATTAGTTTCACATTGGTACAGTAATGCATCTGTGTAAAAAAGGTAATAAATTGTAACTTTTTTTACTTAGGGAAGCTGATTTTTAGTAACAATCATTTTTCTTAGTTCCTTTTCTTTTTTCAATATTTTATTCCAGATTCAGGGAAGAACATCAGTCCAATACATTTTCATCTTTGTGTTATGTTTAGTGCATTCAAGAGGAAGCAAAAGCCCAGTCCACAAGCACATTTGCACTAACTAGATATACCCATTTTAAAAACTAGTTTGCGCATTAAACCAGTGCAACTTCCCCTTCCCTCTTCCTATCTAATCCCAGTTACATCTCTTTAAACTGGGCATTTCCACTGCCTTCTCATGCTGGTCTTTTACAAGAACAGGAGCCATCCAGGGTGATCTGGACCCCTCTGTAAGGGCTTTTCACAGTCATTGGTACTGCCCCTGCTTTATCAGTGTGTCCCATTACCAGGTTTAAGAAAAACACAGCGTTTTCCTTTCCTTGCTTTTGTTCTTACTTCTTTGCTGCTGTTACAATGGGTGCACCTAAAGGGAAGGTGTAGAGAAGATGGAGCCAGAGTCTTCCAGGAGGTGCACAGTGACACAAAAGGGAGCAGCAGACATAAGCTGAAACAAAGGATCTTCCAGTTCAGTAAAAGGGGTAAAAAAGGATTTACCATGGTGATGGTCAAACACTGGACCAGATGTTCAGGGAATGCATGGAGTCTCCATCCTTGGGGGTGTTCACACTTGCCCAGACACAGCCCTGTTTCAGGCTGATGCAGCTCCCAGGTGGCCCTGCTCCGAGCAGGGGTTTGGACCAGGTGATCTCCTGAGGTGCCTCCCAACCTGAATTACCCTACGATTCTGTAATGGCCCTTAATGAAGGGACACAGACAGGTATGTCTGGGATCTGTAATGAGATCACAGACAGGTATGCACTGTACCTACTGTCTATGGGCCAGTTCCACACATCATGTGGAGATAGGTTTGAGACAACAGATAAAACTATCCATGTTAGACAAGTCCGACAGGAGCGATTTCCTCAGAGCTGTTTTGCTTTTTAAAGATACATCATAGCTCATTTCAGTTCTTGGGATGAACAAGTATGACCTATAGTGCTCAAACCAAAACTTTTTTCCCATATCCGTAGCTGAAGACATCTAGAATTTGAAACAATTTAGCCCCTCACATGTGCACGTCCAAAAGACATCCTTTATTGGATACCTTTGCATTTATAAACAGCATTGTAAGCTTGAGGCACAGTTTGACCATGATTTGCCATGCTCTGCAATAGCCATAATCTCACCTGTCATTAATGACCTGCTTTACACATGGCCGTACTTTGCAAAGGCCGTAATCCTTGGGACTGCCGTTTTCTCAGGGTCTGTTGCCATCTTCCCTGCTGGACGCTGAATCAGAGCAGGAAAAGGAGGAAAGCAGATGGAGGGAAGATCAAGATGAGATAGTGGAGCAAAAAAAATTGCCTACCAAAATGTATAACACAAATTTTGTTTAAAAAAAAGGACAGGTGAAATCAAGGGTTGCTGCCTTGGCGTTGTTTTTGCCTCAGGACCAAAGGAAATGTCCAAGCAGGACTGTCCTTGGAAGGGGAAGAGTAGCAACAAATCAATGAGAAGACAGACAGAAACCTGAAATACCACCCAAACCCTCCTGCCTTTCCCTCTGACTGGTGGCCACTTACCTCTCATTTCCCCACGCAGCAGACAAAGCAAATAACCTCTCCTTGCAGTGCTTTCTTTCTGCCACAGTACTAAAATACCTCAGTTTCAGTTAGTATTTCATGCTAGTTTGGAAATATGTCGGGGGGGGAGGGGGTGTATATAATATAAATACCTCCCACTGCAATTAGTCTGTGCTACTACTGAGAGAGGAACAGACTGCATCAACATTGCTTTTCTGCTAAAGTGCCGCTGTAGTTTCAGTTCATCCTACAAATGTGGCATTGTCTCCTAAAATTACATTACTAATTACAGCTAATACACCCAAGCCCAGATGAATGCAACTTTGATCTGAGTAGCACCCCTACGCAATCCCTCTGGCATGCAAATGGAAATTACACAACAGGGCTCAAATACAGCTTGAAAGCAAAGATGTAAGGCCAATTTATTTAGTGCCCCTAGACTAAACAAGGTGCTTATTCCAGTGCCAGATTATGATTGACCGAGATTTACTCACCAAATATTTCCCACTGAGAATGTGCGACAGACTGCAATTATTATTAGCCCAGTTGGTTAAAAAAAACAAAAAAACAAAAAACAAAAAGTCCATCTTTAGCTGCAATTTTGGCTGGGCTGCCTGACAGAAATCGACTGCCAGCTACAGCAGCAGAGCAGGCTGGAGGGAGTAGGTGCGGGGGTACGAAAACCAGAACAAGATAGGTTTGGGGGATGGCAAAGAACAACAGGAAGGGGGGGGAGAGAGAGAGAGGAAAGAAAGGGAGGGAGAATATAGTTGAAAGGGAAAGGGGAAAAGAGAAAATAAGAGAGGTTAAAGGAATATAAGGACACAGAAAGCAAGCATGGAAAAGAGAAAAACAGATGTGAGAAAATTAAGGAAACTGAGAAAGAAAACAGAGTAGAGAGGTCAAAAAATAAAATAGAAAGACTAGCCAAAGATAGTTCCCTTGAACACTTGCCACAGACAAGCTCACTAGGGCAAGAGCAGGAGCACGTGCTTTCGGCTTTTGGAAGGAGCCAGTTTAGGCTTCTTCTGCTGCAATCAAGCACGTGAAATCCCAATTTCTCATCTTAAACAGCTACAGGCGTGAGTTCAAGAGCAGAGCTCTCCTCAGCACAGCTAGAACAGAAAGCACTTGCCACGTGGCACGTAGTCCTAGACCTTTTGTGCGCAAGCTCTGCTGCAAAAACCTGACTGAAAAAAGACTTCGCTTATGAAAAAAGAAATGCAGGGTCAGTAATTTAGCAGTACACTGTGACAGCACTAGAGAGCTGCAAAACAGGCATACACATTTGATTCACAGGTATGTAGCAGCTATACTCTGGGGAGAAAAAAAAAAAAATCAAAGGAACGGAACTTTTTCACTGCACAAAACCAGAGATAAGTTTTTCTGCACACGCCAGAGTTACAAGAGGGGGTCACAAGCCAAACCAAAAGGTTCCTTTTTATTGTCAGAAAGGAAAGTAAGTCATCCCAGACCTTTGGTTAATATATCGCAATGGAGCTGAGGTGGATATGAAAAACTGACATTTAATTGCAAAAAAGCAAAGTAATCTGAAACCATTTACAAATTCTTACTCATTTGAAAACACACCAAAAAAATGGATTTAGAAGGTACAAATGTGGTCTTGCATCTTTTTAAGAAAAAACAAAACCCCAAAATAAACAAAGAGCAATTATGTCAGAAAGACTGAAATGAACAAAATAGACAGATAAATTG